CATTCAAAAGTATAAGTTGTGAATTTATATCTGCTTCTTGTAAAGAGCACAGGGAATGAAAAATTAAATCTAATTGACACCAACCTGCAGCACTGGCTGAAACAAAGTGCAATTGGTGTCTTGAGTGGTCCCTTCACCAGTAATAGTATCTTGGCATCCGTCATTATTGTCGATGGCATCCGTCATTATTGTCGATGGTAGCATGAGTTGCTATTCCCTTGGCCATATTGTGAGATATCTGACTGTTGGCTGAAACCATTCTCGCCCACGCTTGGTTTTGCATTCTAATATCGTTGTATGATATGCAGTTGCCCATTTTGTGCAGCATCACCATTGATTAAGTAACGAACTTCTAGTAACATTATTGATGGTAAAAGATGTCTGCTGCAAACACGTCATGTGACTCACCACTTGTTAACAGCTGTAAGCGGTTAACAGCTGCGTAAAATCGATGCTCTGGACACTTCAAAAATTCATCCTTTCTTTCAAGAATTCGCTTTGCAGCTCTGCCTTCTGTACACCGGCCTAGTCCACCTTCATTGTAAGCATTTTTGTCATCAATTTCTCTTTGGCTGTTGCAAACAAAACACAAGCGTTTGTTCTTCAGATGTTGCCTAACAGATCTACGTGAAATCCCTCCAGTGCCACATTCGTCAGCATTGTCCTCGCTACCACCAGCATCAATCCCTTCCTGAATAGCACCATGCTTTGCTTCACGCCGTTCTATCATGGTTCGAACAGATGTTCTGCAGTTCGTATGAGCTTTGCCAAAAGCGGTATCACAGTCCTTTGTCTTTTCATGAACTTTCGTAAAGCAGTATTCTTGATCGTCAAAGGTAATGTTTATCATAGACCATCTTTAGGCCTTTTCCTTCAAAGCCGCCCAACCTGCACTCTTAAATTCAGTCACTTTTCCTCCTTTAATCAAATATCCACAAAGCAAACATTTTCTTTCTTCTTCATCGTGCAAAGCAAGAAAAGACCTACTTGAGGCCATGTTTCTTGCCAAAACTGTTCTGCTTTAGTCAGTCACAGTTTACAAGCAGGTTTATTGCTTTTTGAACTGACAACACAAAAATTTCTGTGTTGAATGTTCTCTGATATTTCAGAGGATTGGAAATTTTGCCATTTCCGGAAAAAGCAGTCAATTAACGCAAAATAACTGTTTTTCATTTGTGTAACAATGAATTTGTCTTAGCTGTAATTCAAAAGTCTTTCGAAGACTAAATACACAGTTTTTTTATGAGAAACATAGGCGAACATTAGACATGTCTAAGTACTGAAAGTTACTTAATTGTCATGAATATTGAGTACTGAGTCCCTTACAGACAATTTATTATAAAAAATGTTTGACTTCCTTTTCTATATGACCGAGCTTGACAGTCTCTTAAACATACAATATATCCCAGTCCCACAACAAGTCTCTTCTTGAAGAACAAGATAAACTATTGTTTCAGTAATTAATAGAACGAGAGGGTGAGGGGTAAATTGCCCCCAATTTGGTATACTAAGAATTGCCCTGCAAAGGAATGCATTTTTGTATCATAAAACACATGTTGGTAACAACAAATTAGTGAAGTCCAAGCAAAACATCGCTTTATGTCATGATGACGTCATTTCTAAAAATAAATTTGTCAGTAAAATTAATAAAATATATACCAATCGATAGCCCTTGTGGTGCTGAATCAAAATATGCAAATATTCTTGAAAATGGGTGTAAGGATACCGAGAAATTGCAGGTAGAATGGATTAATTTCTTGTTTTCTGACGTCATCAAATTAAGGCACTTCCGGTCAAAATCGAAAGTGAACCATCTTGGATTTGTAATCTGCAGGGTCGATTTAGTGGAAATTAGTAATAACATTCGAGGTTAGGCAAAAATTCAGTCACTTACATGGAATTCCCTGCCTATCTTGGGTAATGTTGGTCATGGAAAGTAACTTTTGCAGTTTGTTGGAAAATTACTTTTGCAGTGACCTATTCTTAGTTTCAATTATCGACCTATCATTTAAGTTCCGGTTGGTTTGTTACCACATGTCCTTCCACAGTGGGAAAATAGGATTACATATGATATTTCGTAATTATTTTTAATTCGAGACATGAACATTGTTTTGTTAAGCCATGATCAGGGCCCAAGTTTTTCATGTTCAAGCAATATTACAGAAGCACGACATGAAATTTTTTGTGATGAAAAGTGGTGTTTCACTTATAGGATTAGATGCGGACGAAACTACACTTGCAGTTTGTTTACCATTGTTTAATCCAATCTATAAAAATGAAAAAGCGAAAAGCAAATAAAGTAAAAAAGGCAGAATCACAGATATGACTTTCTTTTATTGCTTTTAGGCAAATTTATATTTTAGAATATCGTAGTGCATGCTCATTTTATGTAGAACTTGCCAGGTAGCATCTAACATGCTCCAACAGATTTGCTTTGACATATCAGCAGGCACAAACCCAGAGGGCCCCGGGGGTATTGCCCGCCCAACTATAATTTTTTGCCCCTCTGTGCCCGTCCAAAAATTTTAGAATCAAAAAATGTTTTTTTCTCAAAATTTAGAAAAAGCATGTTTTGTTTACATGACTGTCGAAAAATTGGTATCAACAAAGTCTGTGCATCTGTGCATTTATGGTAAAGCCAATATCGACTGTGCACCAGTCCACACAATTCTATATCAAGCAGCCTGCGTTGAATGCTTGTATTCGGCACTAAGCGACGTAGATGCTCCCAACGAAGACACCAATCTGCAAATCGAGGCCTTTTTAACATACTTGCTAGGGAGCAATTGCCCCTGCAGCCCAAGTGGCTTTCCGTTGTTTAAACAATAGGCTATTTTCCCTTTTTTCATAAACAAAGGTTTGCCCCCGCAGCTAATTTCCCTTGGAAAAGGCTATGTTCATTTTGAACGATAATCGTTGATGTCATTGCGGTTTGATAATATTTTATTTTGGGAGCTAAAACCCTGAAAACTCTCTTTCAAATAGACGAAATTACAAGGCTTTGTTGCACCTATCATTATGGCCTAATTCCCTTTTACAGTTGATTTTTTTATTTATTCTGTAAAAAAGTAATTAAAAACAAGACTTTTCTTCAGTTTTTCCGTTTCTAATCAGTGTGACCAGATCGCATTTAGAAATTATGCCAAAATGTTCATAAAATTATGCTAAGTTTACAAATATTATGCCAAATTTCAAATCAAGGCTTTCCTTTATGAAAAACAGGCTAGCGCATGCTAAATGAAATTGTGGTCAGAATACTGAATATACCAAAAAAACCAAATATTAATCATCAAATATGAAATATGTGTATATATAGTTGTATTTATGTAAATCTAGCTGGCCAATATTTTTTACTTACAGAGCTATTTCTTGAAATCAGCATTGCAAACTCAGATAGTAGCCAATCAACTACCTCTAAATGCAGACGCCATTATTAACCCTTGCTGTCTTGTACTGGTATGTTATGATAAGACTGCCCCACAATTTACTCACATAATTATAGCCACATTTGTGGGTGTAATGTGTTTTACTCGCATAATTATAGCCACGCATTTACTATAGACAGCGAATCACTTATCAATGGAAAGGTTGACTTTCTTATTAAATATTCAAATTATGCCAGAATTATGCTAGATTTCGTACTATGCCAGATTTATTGCTTAAGGATGATTAACTCTACAAAAAGTTCATTAAATTGCAAAATATCTTTATCCGGGGCAAGATGATAAATCTATAGCAAACTCTGTATCAATTGCAAGATTTAAAAATTTTAAAGGTTTTTTCGCTTGTCATGGTGCTAAATTTTGGAATGATCTTGACTTAGAATAGAAATTGGCATTCTCCATCCATTTCTTCAAATTGAGACTTAAAACTTACAAGGGTCTCTAACATGGACAAATCCGTCCTTCTTTTCGTTTCCCGGTCTTTCGTTTTATTCTTTTAGCTTGTATTATATTGTATTTTTGTATTCAATTAAAATAACTTGGTATTATTAGGTATTTTTTTCACAGGGCCAATTGCAAAACAGGTTTCTACACTGAATTGTTACCCTATGTAAATAAGTTTGAAATGAAATGAAAATCTTCAATGCCGCTACTTAAGTCTTTGCTTCGCCTTTGTTGCCCGCCCAACCTTTCAGTGCTTCGCGCCTGACATTTAGAGCGATTTAATGGCTTCAAGCACATCTGAAAACTTTCGAAATCCATTAAACATTCCTGAAAAATCCACAGGAAATCCGGAATTGTATAAATCCACATGAAATCCTTGTCAAATCTTGTCAAATCTTTTTGGAATCGTACCTTTTTTAGAAGTGGTAATGCCCTCGTCCCTCACGTCGGATTTCAATATTTTGGGACTGTCTATGCTCTTTTTGATAACAGATTTGTTGACGAAGAGCTGAACAATACCTATTTACAATTTGTAGTACCCTATCCTTGTCCGTTATGACTGTTCTACCTGACAAAGAGCACGTGTTTGTTCCTACTCTTCCTTTTAACGTTGGTATATTGAGAAAGGCTCTGTCTCCTTGGCTCCTTCGATTCCCTATTAAAGCGACTTTTCTTGTGCTTCTTTCAGACTTTGATTCATCTCCATATCTTTTCTATATCCATTACAGTGTCATATTTGCATGCGGATGGTAAAGGTGAACACGGAGAAAGTTAATTAGTTATTTACCACAGCTATAAAATGATATTATAATGTTCAATTTGATGTTGGCTTGGTTATGTATACCAACTTATCTCTACGAACGTTGGTTGCTTAGCATGAGATGGGTCCTGTTATTATGAAATGAGATTGCTGACGAAAGCCAAATATTCCTATTGTCGTAGGTCAAAAGCTGCAGAGTAGATTTATCAAATATTGAATTCAAGATACATTTCGAAGAATCTTTCGAATTGTTTTGCAAGTATCAGAGAGTGATACACAATGATCCAAAGGAGAAACTTACTGTAAAACGGGTAAGAAAGTGATCAATCAACGATTTTCTTTCAATTTGTTAGGTTAGAACGGTACGCTCGCATCCTCAATCCAAAGAATTTTTGGAAAGTTTTCAGTCAGAGTATGAACTCTTCTTAAAATATCAAGTGGCGATCCATAAGGAAACACCGTCTGAAAACCCAATTTCACAGGTACTGTTGACGCTCTTGTCCTTGAAAGTAGTTTCTTGCTTCGCTACTTTAAATTTTTGTATTATTTTTGCATTCATACGAGTGAGGACCGGTTTCAAATTATACGCGAGTTTCTGCTTTTTTATGCCTATTCAAAGATTCAAGGATGTGAAATGTGTACAACTGTAGGCTGTAATAAACAAGTACCATTTTCTGCTATGAATTCGTCATAATTTTCAAGTAGAAATGAAGTGCTATTTAATCTTGAACCTCTGCTTTCTAAACAAATTTTTTATAGCAGTTTCTTACTTTCTGCTTATCTGTGTCATGAAATTTTCTCTCTGAATATTTGATAAAGAGTATTGTTCTTTATTAGCGCTGAAGTTGAAAATATGTATTTCCCAAACACCAAAGATGGCCGACAGCAGATAGGCTACTTTGCGATGCTTTACGATGCTAGTATTCTATTTTACGTTTGCGTTTTAGTATTCTATTCTAAATAGTTTTTGTAAGGCGCTTTCATAAATGTTTTTCCCTTGCAGTTCAAAAGGTTTCTTGTTGACTGTCCGCTTATGGTGAGTAGACTGAAGTATATCATAAGACTTTTGCATTTTTTTTAATGCACTTAGTAATCAATAAATTGAACACATATGCGTTAACATCCAGAATGCATGCTTTCTTTATCAGCGTTGCAAGTGACAAACAAGGAATCTTTAAAGCATGCAAACAATCTTTGGGTAGTACAAAACTTGAAAATGGCTTTGAAAAAGCAAACATTCAGTAAACTAAAGCTTTTCGTCTGTCACTCTTCAGAGTTTAAAACGTCAGAACATAGACCGAAAACTCTACGCTAGAAAATATATATACCCAGTTGTGGATCGAAATTGGCCAATCAGAAGCACAAGCACATGACTGTTGAGGTTGACCAATCAGTGCCGCTTGCCTATTGAGAATGTTACCAATGGAGTCCTAAGGGGAAAACGACCTCTTTTTGTCTACACAGTAGCGGTTTTTTCGTGCTTATGCAGATAGATTCCAAAACTGCTAGGTGGAACGACGATCGGGCTTTAACAATAATCCGAATCATGTCGCCATTATAGTTTTTTGCACAACCTGGGTTTTCTAGTAAATGCTGCCCGATAGCAGAATCGCAGGTTTTAGTTGTAATTTTAGATTTGCAAGACCGAGGTGGCTGTTCTCTTTGGGGACGAGTTTTGTTTCTAATACTAGGCGAAACATGTTGTTTTATTCTATCCTCCAATCTTTGGGTAGTGCGTTCTACGTAGCCAGAATCGCACTGGCACGTAAATTCATAAACAACGGAACTTTTTTGTGTGGCAGGAACGCAGTCCTTTTGAATGGACGGAAGAGCCTTTTTCGTACTATAAACAAGACGTGGGTCGACTGCAAAGAAACAATTTGTAATGGCCTGTTTTATTTGACTTTCAAAACGTAGGGAACTGTCACCGAACCAGGGTAGTTTTAGATAGACCGGGCACTTTCGAGGACTAAATTTTACGTCAGCCGAGAAATTTCCTATCTTCTCCTTAATGTAAACTGAAATGACTTCCTCTGCTGGATAGCCGTTCTTCAGAAAGATCTTAGTTAGTTTTTCAAGTTCCGAGTCGAGTTTAGGCTTGGAACAAATCATCAGTGCCCTATGTGTAAACGTTTTGATGAGGCTGATTTTTCTTTGTTTTGGGCAAAACGAACTCCATCGAGAAGTGTGTCGGACGAAACGAAAAGTGCAAACGAAAAGCTTTAGTTTGCTAAATGTTTGCTTTTTTCAAAGCCATTTTTGAATCTTTAAAGAAATGTTACCAACGATAAAAAGATCCTACTTGAAAATTGAAAGAATGGAAACAAGGACTGTATCGAGCTGTGTTCAGCAATTGACGAAAACTGTTTAATTGTTAGGTGTTGCTGTCCAAGAAAACATGCACCTAGCCGAGCATTCTGGCTTCCCAGCGGCTTTGTCATTGTATCATGTCGTTTCATTATATGCATTTGTGAACATTAATGAAGGTGTATTAGGTTTCAGCAATTTTTTTCTAATTATACCTGGTATCAGCAATTCCTTTCTAAGCCTAATAACTCTAGAGTATTAGTTTTTCTAACATTTAGGAAAGGGAGGCAGCAACCGGATGGCCATCAACTGGTCTTGGTGCATTTCATCAGCAATATTTCATGGATGGTAAGCTGCTTGGCTTTTGAATGTATCACTTTTAGGTCCGAAGTTTTATCCTCCTTTCAATATTTGCTTATTTGATTAGACACAACTCCAGTTTAATGAAAAACAACACTGTCCATTTAATTGAATCCATTGAAATGCATAGTGTATTTCAGCTTTAAGGAGGGGGGATCATTTTTGCTTTCCTTGCCGCAGTCTTTGTGACAGTGTCTTTACCAGGGTCTTTGGTCATTCTGTCCTGAAACCTGACACCGGTCCTGAATGCAAGCAAGTTGGAGTCACAAATACCGTCTTCAAATTGTTTGCATTTATGCTGGTTGGATTCCATCCCTCAAATCAAACCTGATATTTTATTCATTTTCTGTGTAAGCTGCTGGATTACGCTGCTTGCGTCATGGATCCTGGATTACGCCATGGATTATGTTGGCGTCACGTTGTCACTTTCCTAGAAGTAGAGTATTGCCTCCCTCATCTTCAAAGTCTGTTCAATGTCATTTTATATAAAGAGCAGGTGGCATTGATTGTTGTTGTAATTTTCGTGCATTGCATTCATTGTAAAGCGGGAATGATGCCAAAGGGAGCTTCTTCCAGTTCAGCATTCTATTGCTGAGAAAGTAATTGTCCATTCATAGTGCTTGTTATATTCAAGACTTTCGGTAATCCTTTGCAACATGCTATAACAAACTAGAACCAGAGATTCTGAAACAAAATCAAGAAATTTCAGTACTCAAACCAGAAAAATGAAAAAACAAAAGAATTTTTAGAAAATTTTAAAGATACTTAGAAAAACAAAAGTTACTCATTTCTCAGCACAAAAAGTTACACACAGGACCCCAAATTAAAAAAGTAAAGAAAAATGGGTGCTAAAAATTGCTGCACTGCTAAGAAGTTAGAGTACTCAATGTGGACCCCTATTTCTAATGAAAAGTGGACGCATACATTCAGATTGGGTAGACCTCCTTTAGTCTCTGTATTGCCCATAAATATGCCTTTCCTTAAAATGCGTTCATTTATCCTAGTGTTCTTTTTCAACGTCAGTAAGATTGATCTGAAAATTGCTCTTTACAACAAACTTTCCTAAAATATGGAAACACAGTAAATGGTCCTTACTACAAAGCAGACACGTAAAATTTTTAGAGATCAAAAGGAGGACCTTTCATTAAAAGTTAGGAATCACGAGCTTGAAGTCATATGCATCCAAATCTTTCATACACTAGTTTTATTTGTAATCTGTTAATTGTAAATATTTTAGTAGTAGATTTATTGTCTTTTTTGACAAAAATTTCAATTGTAGTTATAAATTCTGAACTAAGCGCCACTTAAAATCAGCTATGCTTAAGGGAAACGCTCCTTAAATATTTAAAATGAAATTAAATGAAATTAATGTTGTCATATCTTAACAAAGCGACCATCGCTCTGTGCATAAATTTTTTCATAGTCACACACATATGTCACTTTTTAGGTAAACTCATTGCCGTTGGTGTGATTGACATTTTACCGCATTGCCTGTCATCAAAGTACTTCTTTTATGATCCAGAATTTGACTTTTTATCACTTGGGACATTCTCTGCTTTGAGGTGAGTCGATCACAGCTCTTCCCATTTTTATTCAGCTGTCCTCTTGGAGCAATGCCTGGGAACACATAGATTCAAACGCAAATATCTTACTATGATTCCTGAGTTGTCCAGTAAGTACCTGATTTCTCTGAAGCAGCTATATGCTGCAAAAGTATTTGATCATAGTGAATAGAAAAAAGGCTGGTTTAAAAGACTATTGGTTTACCTTTAATGTTTCCATCACTTTATCAAAGCCCTATGCAAGCAAGGCCCTAGCAACAGGTTAACCGACTGGATCGCCATTATAACCTGGAATGTATGTTATATTTGGAACGAATATTGCACAGGTATGTTTGCTATCAGAATCAAGAAGCGGTGATAAGAGTTTCCTGTATAACCATTATCATATTTATTATTATTCTTTAATTTTTTTAAATTCTTTGTGTTGATTATGTATGTATGAAAAAGGTATAAAAAATATCTTGTAAGCTTGCTTTCAGCCGGGCTTAGATAAAGCCAAAAGTAAATAAAGGCAGACTTACAATATATAAGATTTGATGTCCCTAATAGATCTAAGTAGCGAGTTCCAGACTCTAACTCCGTAGTGCTGAAAAGATTTGAGATCGGTTTCTCCGGTGCCGTTTGTTATCCATACATTGTTCAAAACTAGTTTTACCATACACTCCCCTCAGAAAAGTATTGCACCACCTTGTTCAAAATGGCCGCACTTTTTGTCAATGTTTTTACTATACAAAACATTTGAATGCATGAATTGGGTGAAATAGGCATATTTTAAAACAAATTTCGGCGGGAAAAGTTTGCAAATTTTGCTAACGCCATAGAATATCTAGTTAGAAATGTAAATATTACGCAAAATATTATTGTTTGGAAAAATGTAGACCTTGCTTAAGGGAGAAAATTTGTCAAATGAGAGGCGAATCCCTATAAAATCTTTACAGGAAAGTGGTCTTTAATTTTTGAAAAATTGTTGACCAAGTTAGATGCAACCACACAACAGCTTCAATAAATCTAAAAGGGTTTCTCGAAAGTGTTTCAGTTGTAATAAACCGAGAAGTGGGTGAACAAAAAAAATTGACGTTAAAGGGGGAACGAATTTGTCTGTTTTATTTCACCATGTTTACACCAGGGAACAGTAAAATCGATACTGAGCAATTTTTTGCAGCTCAAAATTCTTCCAAACAAAAAATAATGAGTGTCTTACACAAGTATAAAATAAAAATTCACCTGCATTAAAGGAAACCATTTTTTACAACGATTTATTTCCGAACAAGAAGTTTTTCCGTGGCGTCCTTTAAGTCCAGATTTGTACATCGTTGAAATATTTGGCTTCGTATGAAAAACATTACGAACCATGGAGAACCAAAGAATCGTTAATATAAAGAATTCTTAAAGTTTGGAATGAAATTCCACAATTTATGCAACCAATTCAAGAAGGCATAAATCGGTTTCAAAAGTTCATAGCTCCCGTCAAAATATTAAAATTTGAAACTGTTAAAATACGTTTTGAAACGGTTATTTTAAAAAAAGTGCTCTAGAAAGATTGAAGATTTGATTGGTGGTTGTTTCATTTCCGACCCACTCCCATTCACCCCTTAAAACACAATCAAATCGCGCAACAATAGCTTTCGATGATTCTTGCGCCATTTTGTCTCCTTCGAAGTGGTGCAATACTTCTGTGAGGGGAATGTACTATTGTCACGTCACATGTAATTCAGCAAATTGTGAAAATGGTAAGAAGTTACTCTTTTATTTACAGCTTTTTTGAAGTCAGTATTCATAAATCTTACTTCTCTTTTTAGAGAAATCTACTTTGTAAGAAGTCTAATGAAAAACTGCCCGTCCTTCAAGTATTATTACATTGGCTACTATCTCCATGCTTGTCAAAAGATGCGATATAAAGTAAGTGCCTGAACCTTCAAAATAACTCAATTTCATATGTTGCCAAGTCTTGATAGATAAGTGGCAATCGTAACCGTGATACATTTGGGTAATGGCCAATCAAGATAATTCACTCTTCTTCGAGAATGCTCTTTCCCATTTTAGTTTTCTATCAGCTTTAATTAAATATTACCATTAAAAGTTAGATTAATGGAAATACCTAAATTCTTTTATCACTCCTAAACAGGAAGCCAAATACAGAATTAGGGACCCGACACTCATTGATATCTTATTTCTTTTCATCTTCTATTCCATGATTTAAATTTCTGCTGACAGATTTTTTGCTCCAACTGCAGGGAAACTACGATCCTTCGTTTCTGCTTTGCCCCGAATCGTACAAATTTGTGCCAATAAAATCTTGCATCCAGAAGCATGACTTGACGAAATACTGCCGACTTAATCCACTTGAAGAACCAGGTTCATTTTCATAACCTTATAATACAGCAATTATCGGTATTTTGATACATACACCGTTACCTTGCCTATGAGCATTTGTTGCTAATGAATTTTTCTTCATCGAGCTCATTTTCCCAGTCGAACTGAGAAGCAAAAAGACCCGAGAAAGCTCAAAATGTTTTTTTTAAGTTTTTCGAAAAATTCTGTTTGTTTCACAGTCTAACGAGTGTCTTAAAATAACTCATTATGTCCCCTTTTACGCCCATGTTTAATGCCCATATTTAACGCCCATGTTTAACGCCCATTTTTATGTCCTTTTCTAAGTATTGTTAGCTGGGCCTTTCATTTGATAACAGCAAAGCACTTTAAGTCCGTTTAGTCTTAAACCCAAGTTGAATTTTTTCATTGTTCCAGCTATACGGCATGGAAACGTTTTCTGTCATTGGGCGCAGCATTTTTCTTTCGAAAATATTTAACGTTCCCAATAACGGCGCGACGCTCTTACATTTGGTAAAAATTAAAGACGCAAATTTCTTAATTCCTCTAAATAATCAAAGCTTGAAATTGTGTTTCATATAAACCAATATTATACTCTTTATCTTGTAAGTACGACGATTACTGTTTCTAGGTGCCGTGAGGTCTAAACGTGAAATCCCTCTTGTGAACATATTATACACTGCCGTTTCAGAAGTATTGCATCACCGGGCTCAAAATGGCGGAACTTTTGACAACTTATCGACAAGACCAAATATTTGAATGCAAGAATTAAGTGAAATAGGCGTACATTATAGGGAGTTTTGGCGGAAAAAATTCTTGAAAAATTTCCTGTCGCCATAGAAATCGTAGTAAACAATGTGTAAGTTACTCAAAAATGTTTTTGTTTGTAGACATATAGACCACGCCTATAGGAGGAAATATAGGAGGAAAATTGTCAAATGAGAAGCGAGTTGCTATAGAATCTATCAATCTGTCTATAAAGCGTCCTCGAAATCACGTATCTCCACTGTTCTCTGCATTGTGCTTTCTTTTTCAATTGTCCGTATTCTTCAATGTTGATCCATTCTTTGGATGTTATCTATCCACATTATTCAAGGGCTACCTTGGTTTTTTTTGTCATTTACAAATCCTTGCATGATGTTGACAAACAACTTTCGATTTGTGCTTTTTGCTATACGACCAAAGAATGACGATTTACGTCGAGTGATCTGCTTTAATAGATTCGGTCGCTCTTTTACTAGGTCAAACATTTCTTTGATCGTAGTGACCAAGCTAACTTTGCAAATTCTACGGTAACACCATGTTTCAAATGCACTGATCATGCTAGCGTTTTCTTTGCTTATAGGCCATGCTTCAAATGGTATATTAGATATGAAATATCTATGTCTTCAGTAACCTTTTCTTTGTTTTCATGTTGACATTGCTTTTCATGAGTCCCTTCAATTCTAAGAATGATTCTCCTGTTATTTCCATTCCTCTCTTAATTTCCTGTAAGCATTCTCTATCTTCCATAATTAATGCGCCGATATATTTATATTGTATGAATATTATTATTATTATTATTATTATTAGGCTAGCCAATTGCAAATTACCTTTGTAATAGTGAAATTTGTAATTGTAGTTTTAATTGAATTGAAAATGAAAAGTTTCCATTATTATCGTTGAGCAGTGGCGTTCACACGCACATTGTACACGATCTCGTTTCTTCGATTTTTCAAACAGCCTGGATGTCTACAACGCTTATTTAAAGATACGAATTAGTATATTGTATTCAACCGAGCCAGAATCGTTATGCTGCGACCTCGCTTACTATGGCTTCTAATAATTTCAGTGGTTTGCTCGTACTGCGGAAAGGATTTTCAGGTGCTAGGCCGCCACACATGGCGCTGCAGAAAAAGATTGCCCGAGAGTGCTGGACCAAACAACACGATTAATATAACATCAGAGTCTGACAAAAATGCCCTCCAGACGTCGGGTATAGTTAAATGTGTCTGTGGGAAAGAATGTTCGGGTGCTAAAGGACTGAAAATGCACCAAAGACGATGCAGCAAATTCATGAACGATTCAATTTACAACTATTTTAAACATTCATACGGAACCGTCAACGGAACTCATGATAATGATCTACTTAACAAATATAAGGACTGCTCCAAACAATCACTCAAGAAAGAATTAAAACGTCTGAAATTGTTAAGTGCTCCACCTACTGAAATTAAATTTGTATCCCGCCTTCTTCGATCAAAACTCAGCCAGGATCGTAACATATGCAGCTCTGCAACAACATCCTAAGATTACGATAAGCTCATCTCGAAGAACCTCTGGAGTTTCGTAAAAAATGTTATCGAAAAACAATCTGCCGTTCTGCCATCATTCTCTGTTAACCGTTGTACACAATTTTTCGTTAAAATGTTTTCAGCAGTCTTCCCAGACCGGCAATTTGTCATACCTCCATGTATTCCTTCTCTTTCTCAACCTTCAGTTCCATTTGATACAGAACCCCCGTCTTATGACAAAGTGACAAAAGTTATTCGCAAAATGAAGTCAGCAGGATCTCCATGCCCTTTGGACAAGATTTCTATTATTTGTTTCAAGAAATGCCCTTACCTCTGGTCATTTCTGACTGAAATAATACGTGTTATGTGGACCACGGGCCACGTTCCTAGCGAATGGAAAAAAGCTTGTACAGTTTTAGTCTATAAAAAAGGCAGCATTGATGATCCGGCAAACTTTCGACCTATTACCCTCGAGTCTGTACCGCTAAAAATATTTACCTCTTGCCTGCGTGATGCTCTGTTTTCCTTTCTCAAACAAAATAATTTCATTGAACACGAGATCCAGAAAGGGTTCACTCCTAACATCTCTGGAGTGCTGGAACATACTTCACTGATGGCCCATATTATCAATAAAGCACGCATAAAGCAACGCTCTGTGGTTGTCACTCTTTTGGATTTAAAGAACGCATTTGGAGAGGTCCATCATAATTTAATCATTAAAGCTATGGACTATCATCACATCCCTGCTCACTTTCAAGATCTCGTGTCTAATCTTTATACTGATTTCCACACTTCAATTATAACAGATAATTTCAGGTCTCCGGCCATTCCAGTCAAAAGAGGAGTACTGCAAGGGGACTGCCTCAGCCCTCTCATTTTCAATTTATGTTTCAACACCTTTATTCAGCTGGTAAAACAAGACAAATATAAACAACTTGGATTTTCTCCTCATGACGGCAATGATCGCTTGTTTAACCCGGTTCACTGGTTTCAATTCGCTGATGATGCTGCAGTTGCACAAGTGATGAACGCGAAAATCAATTATTGCTAAACTGTTTTACAAGATGGTGCCAATGGGCAAATATGATCATCCGCGTAGACAAGTGCATCACCTTTGGAATTAAAAAGTTTGCAACTAGATCTGCACAGTTTCAGCCTAAACTCTTCATTAACAACGATCCTGTCCCTTTTGTGAAACATGGCGAATCTTTCAAATACCTGGGTCGTTTCTTCAATTATGATATGAAGAACCAGGAACACAAGGATCACTTGACCTCTTCTCTCCGTGAGATGCTCAAAGTTATCAATTCCTTGAAAATTCACCCGCGGAACAAAATTCTACTGTTTAATCAATACATCCTTTCAAAGCTCTCTTGGGATCTCACAGTTGCTAATCTCTCCAAAACGTGGGTTTGCGAAAACTTAGATCAGCTTGTCACAAAATTCGTTCGACAGTGGCTCGAGCTTCCAATATCTTCGACATTGAGTGGCATAGTTCTTTCTCGTAAACACTTTGGTCTTGAGCTTCTGCTTCCTTCCGTAAAGTTTCAACAGTGCCAGATTGTTCTTCGAAACTCACTCAAATCTTCGCTCAACGAAAACATCAAATCCCTATGGATGAACACCAATTATGGACCTAATATACAGTTCGACGCATACAAGAACACTAAGGCGGTACTGAAATGTGTAAGGGATGAACACACTGAAAAGCTCAAAACTCAGTTAACATCTCAAGGCTTCATCATTTCATTCCTGCTTGAGCATTCCTATACAAAGTTAGCCTCACTCTGGTCTGCAGCTCAAAGTAAACTTCCAAAAAACATCTTCAACTTTACGATAAGGTATCTCAACAACACACTAGGAACACAAGGAACAACCTCTGCTTATGGAAAATTAGCTCTTCTCCAGATTGCTCATTCTGCCTTCAGCCTGAATCACTTCTTCATGTCGTAGCTGGATGTAACAAATACCTTGAGCAAGGGCGTTTTACTTGGAGGCACGACTCTGCCCTGCACTTCATTGCATCATCATTTCAATGTATCCGAGATGTATTCATTTATGCTGACATTCCCGCTTATTTATCACCATGTATCATAACTGGCGATTCGTTCCGTCCCGACATGCTAATCAAAACTGCTTCTAACTGTCTGTATGTCATCGAATTAACTGTTGGGTTCGAGACTAACCTGGACAATAACTCTTCGCGTAAAGCTGAGAAGTACCGTTCCCTTCTAAAGGAACTACGCCCTAAGTTCAAAAAAGTAAACTTTGTTAATCTATCTATCAGCTGTCTCGGTATCTTTGGTAACTCCTGTGATTCTTTCATCGATATGTGTGATGAACAAAAACTTGACTACCAACACCGTAATTTTATAATTAAAAAACTGTCAGCAATAATTATATGCACATCCTATTATATATTCTGTATGCGCAATAAGACTTGGACAAACCCTGAACTGCTCTCTACCTGTTAACTGCTAACTACCTGTAAAGTGAGGTTACTGTTGTAAGTAGAAGAATATAAATAAAAAATGTTTTCATTATTATTATTATTATTATTATTATGGCTAATTAAGTGATTCACAGACACCTAGATGTTAATTGGTCCGGATAATATAGGAGGGAGCAGTCAGCAACAAGCTGACAAAGGTCCCATTCTGTCATCTCAAGTTTACATAGACAATGTCTGTCTCAAAATCCTGGCTGTCCCTAGCAGTGCTGTCTTTTGTATCACCTGTAACTTTACATCAATTCCGATCTTTTCCATGTGCTCTTCAAAACAATATGATATACACCCTAATGCCCCAATCACAACAGGGATGACTGTCACCTTCTTCATATTCCACAGATTTCCGATTTGCTCCTTTAATGGTTGATATTTCTCAATTTTTTCTTGTTCTTTACCTTTTACCCTATTATCACCAGGAATGGCAATATCGATTATCTTCACATCCTTTTTTTCCTTGTCAACGACAACAATGTCTGGCCTTCTAGCTTCAACAACCCTATCACATTGAATCATAAAATCCCACAGTAGCTTAAACTTGTGATTCTCTAAAACTCCTTCAGGTTTCTGTTCATACCATTTTGTGGCTCTTTCAAATCCGCACTTTTCCGCTAACAACCAATGAATATACCTTGCCACATTGTCATGTCGTCTTTTATATTCTGTCTGTGCCAGTTTAGCACATTCGCTCACCAGATGGCTAACTGTTTCTCCCTTGTCACCGCACATTCTACATAAAGGCGTATCACTTGTTTTATCAATGTAGTGCTTGGTATATTTAGTGCGCAGCGCCTGCTCCTGTGCACTACACACTAATGCTTCAGTGCACCCTTTCAGATCTCCGTTCCTTAACCATGACCAGCTTTTTTCCCAATCAATTCCGTCAGTATTCTTAGTAAATTGCCCATACATCGGCTTATCTTTCCATCGTTTCTCCAAGCGCCTTTTTGTCTCATTCTTATGTTCATTCGGTGCTACTGCCTCCTCAGTATTCATTGCCCCAAGGTCTCTCACTTTTGACATAATATTGCCTCTAGCATGCTTCACATACCAAGCCAGGTTGTTTGTCTCATTTTCAATACAATACTCACAACTTATCAGCCCCCTACCACCCTTTTTCCTGCTAACATAAATTCTTGCTACATCGCTTCTAGGATGAAGTTCTTTACTCATTGTCATTAATTTCCTGGTTCTTCTGTCCATACTTTCTAGCTCGTCTTTTCTCCATTTAATTATTCCTGCTCCATAGCGCATCAGGGAGATTGCCCAGGTATTTGTTGCTTTAATCTTATTCCTTCCATTGAGTTTTGACTGCATGATAAGTCTAACCCTTCTGAAATATTCTCTTTGAAATATTTTCTTCATCTCCTCTTCTTTTATTCTATCCAACTCTGTTATTCCCAGATACTTGTATCCTTCTTCACCAACCTCCTTGATCTTTTCTCCATTGACAAGTTCAATCCCTGCACTTCCTGTTAATTTTCCCCTTCTTAAGGTCACAACACCACACTTTTTTATCCCAAATTCCATTCCTATATCTTGACTAATAAGGTTGACAGTAGATGTTAGACTGTCAATTTCATTCTCGTTTTTCGCGAACAACTTCAAGTCGTCCATGAACAACAGGTGATTGATCTTAACACCATCCAATGTATATCCCATTTTGACTTTTCTGAGGACTTCGGTAAGGGGTATCATGCAAATGACGAACAAAAGTGGTGATAGGTTGTCTCCTTGGAATATTCCTCTGCGAATATTTACAAGCCCTAGAGTTTCCCCACACGATGTCAGTTGTACTTTCCAGTTGGTCATCGATCTTTCTATAAAGTTAACAACATTGTCTGATACTCTATAGAGCCTTAGACATTCTATTATCCAGCTGTGGGGAACCATGTCGTAGGCTTTCTTATAGTCAACCCACGCCATGACTAAGTTTTTATGCCTCCTTTTACAATCAGCAAGAATCGTCTTATCCACCAGAAGCTGATCCTTTGTACCCCTGCTATTTCTTTTACAGCCTTTTTGTTCTTCAGGTAACATCTCATTCTCATCCAAGAACGTGTAGACATTTCCAGAGATGATTCCTGTCAACAGCTTCCACATTAATGGCAAGCAGGATATGGGTCTATAGTTATCCACTGCATTGCCATTTTTTGGATCCTTTTGACATAGCACAGTTCTGCCGGTGGTCATCCACGAGGGTATTTCTATTTCATCATTTATCAAATCATTGAGTTGGGCAGCAATTCTTTCGTGTAGAGATGTAAGTTTCTTTATCCAAAACCCCTGGACTCCATCAGGGCCAGGAGCTTTTCAGTTAGGTATCTTCTTGGCTTGCTGATTTACCATTCTAGTTGTTATTTCAATGTCATTTTGTGATAGATTAGGTTTGTTGTTTTTTAACTCCTCTAACCACTTAGCCTTTTTATTGTGCTGTGTTTCGTTGTCCCATATGTTCGACCAAAATTTTCTACTTTCATCTGCATCTGGTGTTGTATTCTCTCTTTTGTCTTTACCCTGTAGTTGTTGATATACCTTCTTTTGGTCATATTGAAACATTCGATTTATTTGGTATTGTCGCGTCCTTTGCTCGTACCTTCTTAGTTTGAAAGCCTTGGCTTGCATTCTCTGTTTCAACTCTTCAATTACAGTAGAGATTCCTTTTCTCGTGATGTTATACTTTTTTGACAGTTCATGGTATTTCCCTTTCTTCGATACTTCACCTCTCTTTTCGCGCTCAAGTATGTTAATGTGCTTTCTAAGTTCATTAATAGATTCGCTTATTCTTCTTTTCCACCATGGTTCTCTTGTTTTATTTTCTATCTTTGGTTTCCCTATGCCTAGTTTCCTCGCAACATACAATGCAACAGCACTGATCAGTTTGTTTGT